CCACTGTGAGTGTGTGGCCCTGTAATAAGTTTTTACAGATACCGGTACAGGTTGTAGATGACAGGTCCCCGTAAAAAAGTTTTTACACAACAAATTTCTGGCAATATACATCTTATTAAGGTAATTCTGGTGGCCATTTTTGCATTTTTGCGATTGACCGTGAAAGGTTTATGTCCCAGATGACAAATGCACTGATAAAACATCGACATTTTAAACCAGATAATAAGCTGCAAATCTGGAATTACTGTATTGTATTTTTGGGGCATCTTGAATTTTGGTGGCCATTTTGGATTTGAGGCCAATTTTTGGGTGGCTCTCGATTGATCTTTAATGGTTTATGCACCAGGTGACAAATCAACTGAAAAAACATTGACATAACCGAATAATATGCTACATTGTTTTCTAATAATTGTGATTTTTGGCAGCCATTTTGGATTTTGGCGGCCATCTTGGATTTGAGGCAACATTCTTGGTGGCCCTTAATAGATCTTGGAAGGCTTAGGTCTGAGTTGACAATTCCACTTTGACAACACCGAATAAATATGTTGTATATCTCTATATTATAGTAATTTTGGCGGCCATCTTGGAGTTGAGGCTAAAATTATTTCAAATAGTATGGGGTCAGGATGATAAAACCGCTAAGAAAACCTTGACCGGTTTATCCTTGGCTGGGACCTGTCTATTACAGGACATTATTATTTAATTGTGTTAGCATGTCTGTTGGAAATTTTGCTTATAAATTTTTTATAAAATTATTTTTATTTTAATGTATGGTAACTGACAATGTGTGCCTATATTGCACACAGTTTTTTAATGTGCTTATAACAACATGTGCTTAAGGGAGAACAATATTAGGCCTAAAATTGATTTATTGACTGGCAACTCAAGTATGGGGCTCACACCCAGAATTCATGTTTTATTATGTTTTTGAATTGTGCATATCATGTACTATAGCCACAGCACATCGTGACAGGCATTTATTATTTATATATTTCTACAATATTTCATTGGATAATATAACACATTTTACATAATGTGACGGGAGTACAACGTCTATCACACGGATTTATTGGTTGAAGGTCCCAAGTAAGCAGCTAGTAGTAGCCTGGCCCTAGCCCACTTATAGTGTAGGTAGAGAGCAACGTAGAGCGTAGCTCAGTACATACAGTAGGCCTAGATCAAACTGGTGGTAGCCGACGACATACAGTAGTAGGCCTACTTGTGAAATATTCACAGAAAAAAAGAATGAAAATCAATGATATAACATACCATAGGGAACTGCAGACAACCAGTAATAATTAAAGGATCTCGTTTTCTTTAGTATTTCGTTTTCTGTAGTATTCAATGGCGTCATTTGAGGACGGGGATTCCCCATTCTTATATTACGCAGATGTAACTTCTGAGGGCGCACTTCACCGGTAAGCAAAAGACAGACTCGATTGAGTCTTAGCATAAAGCTAGTTCAACCGCCAATAAACTATCGCTTATATAATCATTTCATGGTTTAATTGTAATTAATTCACCCATTAATTAACTTGTCACTGAACTTATATTTTGTGGTCCAATCAACTAATTGTATCTTTAACTTGATTCCGATTGGTTAATACTATAGATTATTCTTTTATGTATGTGTAAGATCTCCAAAGTTTTCTCTCTGTTGATAGATAGCAGAGCTATCAAAATATCCATTTGATTTTGTTATAGTTTAATAAATTTGTGTTCCACAAGTCAACTTTCAAAGATTATACACCATTTTTTTTTAATTGTTTTTACATTTTATTTCACTTCGAGCATACATGCAAACCCACTCGGGTTCCAGTTACGCGCGACTAGTAGGCTTATGCAAACATAAATGAAAACTAAATTTTTTTTTCTATGTTAACACAACTATAGTATTTATTAAATAAAGGGGTATTACAATGGGGGATTTAAACGGGAACTTAAACTAACCTAACAACTAAAAACACGATAGGCATAGTCCATTCAGCAACTGTCCAATAATATTAATAGTGTTGGATGATACGCACCTATAGCGAAGGAACAGCGACAGAATAGCGAAGAAGTTCACAATATAGAAGTGAATCCAACTTCAGCAGGAATGGCAAATCGATTCAAGTCAACCGTCAGTCAAGAAATCAAAACGTCCATCCGAGATAACACCATCAACCATCCCATGTCGATCAGACATGAGCCTGGGTATTCCTCCAGCATAAATCTCGAAACTTGTAGCAAAAATTAAAATACTCCAGAAACCAAACTTAACTTTAGATTGGGAACAGCAGCCTACCGGATCTCTATTTAGAGTCAGTTCGATCAGAGCTGAACGGTGTAGACTCTGCCCCATCTAAGTTAGTGTAGCATTATGTTGGTACAGTAGTCTGGTGGAATAGCCAAATGGCCAGAGCCACGGGCTGAGGTACCGCTCTCCTCTCACTGGACTGGATTTCTTTTTGACTCTCCTATATCAAACTGTTCAGAGTCTTTTAAAGGACATGACTCCTCCTTGTTCGCGTCTTAACGTATTCCATCGGTTTATTATATTTATTAATCATGAGAAAATATAATTCTTATTGGTTTCTAATATTGGTTAACACCCCTAAGTCACTTTCCATTCCCTACCTTGGTTCCGGTCATGCATCAAATTTAGGTGGACAGGACACTTCCCTTATAGGACCACAGGAATGTACAATACCCTGACTTAATCCAGTATTGCATACTGTTGACTATGGAAAATGGAATGGTCTGTGCTAGTACAGCTACGATATGTGGATTAATTTTTATTGTGACTAACACTTAGCATCAATAATATAGTACTAATACAACAATGACAGTACTACACAAAATGTAGAAGCAAATAAATTCACATGACGATCATTATCACGATCCAAAAATAGGCCTAGGCTAGACTGTGCTAGACTAGAGAGTGAGGAAGAGAGGACATACCTACCTTACCCAAGGAGAAGCCTAGTAGAGATGCAATTTTATTCATAACTTGCACTTTTCTTTTGTCATTCGTTTGCAATAAAATATATATTAAAATAAATATTCTTGTTTTTCCTCTTTCTGCGTATTTTTGTACTCATGTTCCGATGGAAGAAATTCCTCAGGCCTAATGATGCTCGTATATACCGCGTGTGTAAAAAGTTTCTCTCAATTGAGGGCAGTATTGATGGGAGGCAAGTTGATATAATTATAAATATTTAATTAATTATAAAATTGTTTTGGTGTGTAATTACAGTGTATTACACTTTTTAACAAAATACAAAGTGTGAAGCTTAATGGTTTTTGTTACGTAGCATTTGGAATTCTTTATAAAATACAGTAAATCGTTGCTGGTTTCATATATTTTTTCTGTGCTGTGAGATGATATTTAAAATAGTTTACCGTTTTTGCTAGTGGGCTAAGCCTTCATAGTATTCTGTACGTGAATGTCATAGTGGTTCACTGCATAAACAATAAAGTTCTATCTAATCACCGTTCTAAGGATGATTATAAATTATAAAATATGATACTGTAATATGATGACGCTATATTATATTTGTTCGTTAAAACCTGTTCCAGCAACCAAAATAAAATACTGGATATATTTAATTTAGGTAAATTAAAGGGAGGGTATTCATAGAAGCTCCATGTTTACTGACACATACGAAATTTAATAGTTTTTTATTTACACGACAGACCTTTATTTTCAGTCTTTACAGCATGTTCTGCTGCCAAAGTCATTGTTAATTACATGGAAATCTTTAAGTAATACAGCCTTCTATTTTTGGATACATAAGTTAAAACTGAATAATACAATGAAAATAATTATTTTACTATAGGCCCTATGAATTAACAGGGGTATAACATTTTGAATATTTTAAAAAATATTCTTGCCAGAAATTCTATTTATAAATCCATCTATATTATTATTATTATTATTATTATTATTATTATTATTATTATTATTATTATTGGCAATAATGAAATCTTGAATATGCAGGTTAACACTGAGCCAGTCTAGACTGAAAATGCTATTAAATGACAGGAACAGAAACGTAGTTTTTATTATTTGGTCAGCCAACATTCGATCTACAAGCTTATCACAATCATTACATTCTCCATCACGAGAATATAGTCTACTGTGATGTTTGCAGATTTGCTTCACAATCGAATACAATGTTTAAGTTGTTGTAAAGCTTGTTTTTTGAGACTCGCACGGTCAATCTGAAATAAATAAATATATTTATAACATCATATTCTCTCTTCTCTTGCCATAGACATAGACATAGACATCACTTTATTAATCCAAATCCTTGGAAATTACATCGCTCTTTCAATAAATTAAGCAGGAAAAGTAATTCAATGCAATAAATAATAACTATCTTACATATCTACCATTAAACAGGTAAATGCCCCTCGCAATGAATGAGTTAGAATAACGGTTCGTGTTAGCAGCCGGTACCCTCAGTCTACCGCTGCGTTGTATAACGCAATTAGCAATAGTTGAATGTAACGGGTGACTTTCGTCAGGCATCACGTTATCAAACTTATTAACTAGTCGTTCTTCGTAGACTGAGTGCACCGATTGCAGTTCCGAACCGATAATCTTCCCAAACCTGTTAACAAACTTCTGTAATCTGTCCCTATCACCTTGTGAAATATTCCCACCCCAACAAACTAAGCAGTAACAAAGTAATCCGAGAATAATAGAATTATAAAATGACAGCATACATGCCATACATTTTGTTCTGATTACTTTTACGAAATTGTAATGCAACATGTATTGTCCTATGAAAAATTAAAAAAAAATCATAAAAATAATTTTTCAAATTAATCTGCTTATTTTAAAGTAACATAAAAATTATCAACTTGAACATAGAAATAAAAGTTTTAAAAATGTTTACCCATAATTATAAAAACACTTCCAGCAGGAATGTTTATACAAATCAAGGTATACATTTTTGTTTTAAATTCAATAATTTCTATGCTCAACTTAATAAGAGTAGTTTTAAAAATGCTTACTTTTCCAATATCGTTTTTTGGGAAACACTCAAAAAGCAAAACATAACCAGGAATGTTTTCTTCAACTCTCACCTAATAAAAATAAAATAGAAAAAGGTGTTTCCCAAATTACTTTACAATATCACAGTACAATAATCATAAAAATATTATGGTTTTCATATTTTGAGTAGATTATAATAGTGAATTGGAGTTGATTAGCTTGGTGGTTAAGATGCTATATTACAGTTCAATTCACATGTTAAATGATTTTTCCACTCACAAAAATAAAACAACTCCATTCTCTAACAGTATAGCATACGGTAACTTCATAGCAGTTTTGAAAAAAAAAAAGAATTGTGAAAGAGATTTTTACATAATATATAAAGCATAAAAGTATATAAAAAAACCCACAACAACCTAAATTACAATATTCAAAGCTCTCAGTTAATAACCTTTGTTTTTCTTACATTTGGTGAACCCTTTCTGTGTCTTTCTTTTTATGCTCTTTTTCTGATTAAATGTCTAGTGTTATTTTGCATTGCATATTGTTATCTTATTTTTATGTAAAATAACAATATCAAAAATTATTTAATTGAATAACTATTTTTATATATGATGCTTTGTCAATAGTTCATTAGTGCAATTTAAGTTTTTTATATCTTTTTAAATGTAAACTTTTAATCTTTTAAATCTTAAATTTTATAAGAACTTTGAATATATGTTGACTTTGTTTGTATACCACAACAATAATAATAATAACGAGAATGTATGTTGACTCTGTTTGTATATAATAATATTAATAATAATAAAGAGAATGAAAATAATAAAACTAATAATAATGAGATTTAATGTAGAACCACGATTCCTAAACTTTTTTCCTGGGACCCAAGTTTTCTCACACTAGCCGCGCCCACCTAATAATTTAATAGTATTTTTTAACTTCCATTTTTCTTTTATTTAATAATACAAGTAGCCCATACAAAAGATGATATTTTTTTATGACTCCACACATAATTAAGAATACAAACTCCATCTCTCCTAAAATTGTGAGAAGTTACCATTTTAAACATAAGTATACTTTTCTAAAAAAAATATTTTTAAATTTCAATTTTTAACCATAGAAACAGACTGAGTCTTCATTTTATAAATACGGAATCGACAAAATGAAAGAATCAAGTTTTGCGTATTCAATTTGCTATCGATTATATCAAACAAAAAATGTCATTATTAAGAATATTAATTTTCATTGTATTTTTAATCTATCTGGTAATGTTTGTTTTTTTTCAAAAAAGATAGGGTAATATTACACGTACAAAATAGATAACTCATTGTTTCAGTATCAACAAAAAAGTACACAATCTGAGGTGTATTATTCTTTGAATTTGCAAATAGTTTCCCATTCAAAATTTATTTTGATATTGCTATTCTTAATTCAATTGATAGCGTTTTTAGAGTTCATTTCTTATAAATTGCTTTTAAACAGGCGAAAGGTAAAATTTACACAATCATGTTGTTGTAAACGGCAACAGAAAAATAATAGCCGTCATAAGAACTTGAAGATATTCATTGTGGGTATATAATAACATTGTTTTAATGATGGTTTACCTAATAATAACTGTTTTCAAGTCTTCAGATCTGTGTGCATTAACTGTAAATACACACATGAATTGATTTTTTTTTTGGAAACCTGGTTAGATAGAGTTATAATAAGAATAACATGTAAAGTCTGCCTCATGGTTTTGGAAGCCTGGATGTAGAGCATCTTGTGTGATAAGCTTGTCTTGTGAAAGGAATTTCCACCAAAGAGTAGGAAAGTTCACTATTGGCAATCCTTGGCCCATGTGCCTACCTACTTTGTAGTGAAATAGGTGGAAAATAATGCTATGTGAATTGAACAAGCGACACACGGGTTTTACCCTTCCATATTAATGTAAACATATATAAGGTTTTTGATCATAAAATTATTTTCCCCCAAAAGAATATGAGCATAACGTGGTTACTGACCTTTCCAGTTAGATACGTGACAATCTGATCTTTGTCAATGCTTGCATTCTTCTTTGTCCTATTATTAGAAAAAAAAAATGGAAGTTTAAAAGAATATGCTTATAAACATAAATAGAGTTCATTTAATGCTGGGCTAAGTCTAATGTTTCAAATTTAATCTAACGGACAGTAATAAGCAGTCGCTCAGCTGAATGGATGTTATCTCCAATCCATATGTACCATAAACTCCTATCAGAACCATGAATTTAGTCTCAAAGTATCCAGGCGACCTTCACTTTTATTGTTTCATGTTGCAGGAGCTGAGTAAGTTAATAGGCCTATGTATAAAGTATAACTTACAAAATATTCTATGAAATTAGTCTTGTACACACCTTACACATATACAAATGTCCTCTCCTAGGTGATCATCTGGTACCCCAATCACCTGTCATAACAAAACGTTGCACCACATTATTAGAAATCGATGAAAACAGAATATAGGCTAATGGACTTCAACATAACCAATCAGAACAAGGCCAGCAATACGCACTTTGTCCTACAAGCGCGCCCACAAGCACACGTGTGTTTTAATAAACGCACGTGTTTGCGTTACCTGGGACATTTAGCAACATTAGGCCTATATCTAAGGGACGGGGCTTAGTGGAGAGGTCTATTTAGCAACAAATGTAATTTACAGGTTAAAGTTCAAGAGAAAACACAGCAGTAGTAGATCGTGTGTTCATGGAGCTTCGTTAATACACATAAACAATAGCACATGTGATGGCTTCTAAAATAAAAAGCGACAACCGGTGATTAAAAATATCTGATTTTCGTACACGGACCACTGCTGAACCGGGCGAATCATCAAAACACGACAGCTCTTTCGACAAAGCAGGCGTAGACCCACAAGATGATGCCGACCGAAGCTAGGCAAGTCAATTAGATTTAAACAGTGATCGAATGGATGAACTTGAACGAGATAAAGAAAAAAACTGATGATATTGAGAGTGTTAATCCGCAACTCGATATTTACCAAGATAAGTTCAGAGTGATGGGGAATCGTGAAAAGAATTTGGTGAATTCGCTGATATGTATTGTGAAAGGTTTAACTTATTTGGACTGGTTAGAAACAAAATAAATGGTCAGGTGAGTGAAATTTGTATACAAAAGTGGCATAAACTGCGATTTGTGGCAGGAAAATGGCGGCTGGGAGTCAAGACAGGAGAATTTACAATTCAAGGCTGCCTACGCCTAAAAACCTGTAGTAAAAAAAACCAAAAAAACAAATAAATTTATTTTATGATAAACTGTGACATTTTCGATACAATCTTTTCTTTTCTTGATGGCCATTCTGTGCTATTCTGTGTATAATATATATAATATATATGTATATATATAATATAGATTTGGTAAAGGCCTACCAGAACTCGCCATGTTATAATTTAACAAGAAGTGATTTTATATTTAATTTATTGATTATAGTTAGTTACAATTTTGTTAACTGTATAGTTTATGTTGATGTTATATTTTTAGTTTTTTTAGTTTCGTGTCTATTATTCTTAAACGAAATGAAATTTGAGATTTTAGTCGCCATTTCAAAGTGCTTGATAAACGAAAACAACAAGATGTGAACATTTTAATATATATTTTCCTGAAATTGGTTCTACTGTCAATTATTCCATGCCTGATTGCAATATAAATCAGCATTTTTACCCAGTCGCCCACTTATATATCTGTCTCTTATACACATCTTGAATTATGTAAATGATTTATATAATGTTTGAGACATCCTTAAGGCCTATTTATACTTTAACTATAACGATAAAAAAGCTAAAAAGCAATTGCTCATATAGAAAATAAAAGAAATAAGAGACGTTTTTACACTAGGACGATTCGATAATGATTTATCGTGTATACGATATCAAAATATTTTGACAAATCAAATCAGGTAACGTCATAATCATGGAAAAACGATAAAATCGTTGCTACTACTACGATTTTAATGTTTTTCCATGATCATGACGTCATCTGATTTGATTTTTCAAAATATGCTGTTATCGAATAACTGATAAATCTTTTTTCATCTTTATATTAATATGTATGCCTATTAATTTTACATGCTTTGTCGTTTTTTCATTAGAATTTGATAATATTTTTTTTATAATGTTATTTATTAAATAAACGTAAATAAATTTGAAGATGTAGGCCTACAAGTTTATAATATCGACATAATTTCTTATTTCTTCCTCCCACCATCATTCTCGAACCTCTTGTCTATAATCCTTCTTGTCGTATGATCGGCAAAGCTCACAATTTTGTGTATTTTTATATTATTATATGGGAATTGCAGAAATATCTATCTTATTTTATTTGAAACATAATTTATTTAAGTGGATCAATAGAAAGTTTTACGCAAGTTTTTGTATTTTATTATAACAGTATGGCTAGACTTAGGCCTATATTGCACAAGTCGCAAAAATAATCAGTGGAGTATCTCGGAGTCTTCGAAGGGGGGGGGGGGGCTAGGTCACAAAATAAGATGATATGAGGTGATTTTCGATGGGGAGGAGGGACCGTGGATAAAAGGTGGAACAAACAAAATACTTGAGATGTATTTGAGATGAGATTACCAACCTGAACTTGGTCTATAGATGGATGTAGTGAGAGAACATTCTCGATGTCGGGGGGAAAAATCTTTGTCCCACTCCTTGTTATCACATCCTGCGGATACAAAAATAATATCATAACCCACAAAAATCATCGTACACTTTTGGACGACTTTTAGGTCTTATACTTTTTGTAAAGCCCTGTTCAGACTACCAAATTATAACTGTAGTAATGATGTGCCTATTAAGGTGGATTCACACCGAATCCGAATTTGGTTCGTCGAACGTTTTCGATGCGCGTCTTAGTACGCGCCTCTATAACTCTTTACCACTAATTCGATTTTTTGTTTCGTTTCGTTAGCCATACGAACCGAATTCGGATTTGGTGTGAATCTACCGTACCTTTAGGCGTTTCACGTGTTTCTGTTATATAATATTTGATAGTGTGGACAGAGCTATTAGGCACTTGCAGAATTATTGAAGTTTTGTTCATTGAGTTGGTTTATGATATATCCGTATAAATCGGTACGTGTGCTTCATAATTAGTTTTCAGTTATCAAATAATTAGTGGTTTTATTGACTGTGGAGAGCGCTGAAGTTCTGTCAGTATTACATTTCATTTGGCAAAACATGTAACATGCGTAAATATAATCATGATGACATGACTTCATGACTATATTATATGGTCATACGAAAGTTTTTTTAGTGAAAGAAAATGGAATAATCTGGACAGAACTTGCTATCGTGTAGCAGAGAATCCTGCAACACGATAGAATTTTACATTACCTTTTTTCTACCTACTATTGCAAGAGCACCAGTCGCATCAAAAACGCCAAGGTCACTGTAAAATTAAGTCAAATGATATAAATAATTTCAAGTCAACTAATTCTCGGTGGAGGGGTTGCACTGTAATGTATTTTGCCAAGAGGTTCGGGTATATAAACAACAAGCGTTTTCGTTTTCAGTTATCAAATCTTTTTACAGTGTGGTCAATGACAGAACAAGTTCCTTTTATATATAAATTTCTTGGCAAAGCTACAGAATTATAGCTTTATATTATAGCTTATTATATGTGACAAATTCGTGGGATGTGCCCATGGTATAGGAATATCACATTTACGTACTTGTCATATCTAATGTAATAGTGTGGACTGAATTTTAAATACATATCGAAAATATTTTGAGTTATTGGCAAATTAATGTAAGATATTCAAGGTCCTCATGTCATGTCATGTCTTCTCTTACCCACAGAAAGAATGAAATTGAGAGTTTGAATGACATAGGAATAGATGGTAGTTAGTGTGACGTGTGCATTGAACCGCGGAGGTAGTTGACTCCTGGTTTAATAACTAGTCGCTACTCTACTTGTGTCGGGGGTTTAAATGCGAGTTATGCTGTTGATTTCGTGTGGTATATGGCCCACGTACACGTTAAAGAACGCAGTAAACTCTACTGAAAAAAGGTAATATCTCTCGATATACTGTCCGATGGAACTTTCCGCTAAGCTCCGCCCTTGAATATTGTTGATAACGTCCCACAAAAGAAAAGCGGTTAAAACATACGCAAACACATGCGTTTGTACAACACGTGTGCTTGTTAGACATGTGCGTATTTCTGGCCCTGTGATGATTAATCAGTTGTTAGTTTGGTTGACATTCCGGAAAGTTCTTTTCACCATCAGAAAAACCCCACTGGCGTCTTCGGACTTTCGTGTATTAATCTTGGTGTAATTCACACCAAAAAACCTTCAATTCGATCCTATAAGACTTGTTAATGATACTGCTTAAACAGTGAATTCTAAAAACTGAAATATCTTATAGACGTTTTGCTGGAAAAAATTTTGGAATTAGGACTTTTGATAAATGATAAGTAAAACTACTTGAGTAATGGTGATACAAACAGCTTTATCCCTAAATGTTAATAGAGAGAGTCATAAATCAGGTGAATATATTTCGAAATCTAACTTCTGATGCTTGGTAAGGGAATAAAATTTAGAAAAATAATTTTCTTCGCAAAATTAGCTTTTGAAAAGATGACGTAACGTGACAATACTGTAGTCAATTTTTGGGTGTGAAACTTAAACAATAAACGAGGTAAAGAGAGAAAAGCTAAAAAATACTATAATGTGGTGTTAGTAGAAAAAATTAAGTGGAGAGAGTAACTTAGTAGAGATGTGTAAGATCTCGCTGATATCTACAGTTTACGATCTGAGAAAACAAAAATTACATTTTTTTTGTCTCTGTATTGTGGTAAGAATGTTCCAAGTTATAGGCAATAGGCAATTGTATAAATCGAAGTTAAAACACACTGACACATGTGATACGTGTGGAGCAGTCGAAGATGAAAAGCACATGTTTTTGAATGTCTAAAAAATAGGATATTATGGGAAAATATAGACAATCTATTTAAGAAACTTGACAATAGTCAATCTTCTTTTTAAAGAATTAATTATAGGCTGTGATAGCAGAATTAAAAATGAAATATATTCCATTGCAGTATTTGCTATATACAAAATTAAAATTCTAACAGAGCTAGGTAAGCCAGTTTGTAAAAATGCATGGATTATATTTAAGAATTTTGTAAAAGAAAATAATTATGAATTGAACTTTATACTTGAATGAGTTTTATTAGGTTATCTATAGTATTATCATTGTACTAATTTTGAATAATTGGGATTAAATTGAAAAGTATTTGTAAGTATGTTAAATTAATTAAGAGTTATATTATCAAAAATATAAAAAAAAAATATGAAAAGAAACAAGGGAATAACGTCTGTAACCATACAAGAAAAAAAAATATATACACATTTAAAAGTATATATACAGCAGTGTAGTAAAGTTTAGTTTGAACACTTCAGATTGTAAGCTCAATGTACTGGTTGACGTCTTACTAATACTAAGGCCATAGTGTATGCATGACTTAGTGGTGTAATTGCTATTAATATGACCACAGTCCGAGCTTAGTGAATAAATAATGTTCAATATTGATGTAAAAATTTGAAAATCAGAAGAAAATGGTGAAAAAAGGTGGGAAGACCCCACAAAAGAAAAAAAAAAAGTTTCAAGTATTAAAAGACAACAGCGGAGATTAATGATAAAAGAGCCAGAGGCAGAAATAGGCCATCGGATCAATCATATTCTTCAAAGTGCTACAGTTTACAAAAGACCTGGACAGATTGGCAGTCAACGTGTGAGCCATACACGGCAAGCATTATATGAGAATAGAATTGCAAGGGATGGTATTCAGTTTCAATGGACCTTTCCGCTAAGCTCCGCCCCTTGGATATTGTTGCTAAGGTCCCACAAGACGGCATTATTAAAACATACGCGAACACGTGCGTTTTTGACAACACGTGTGTTTGTAAGACGTGCGCGTATTCCTAGCGCTGTTCTGATTAGTCAGTTGTTAAGTTTGATTGACACTCCGGAAAGGTCTATTAAACCTCGACAGTCGGACCTCATGCAATTCTATAAACTTTTATAATATTTACTAAGTGGTACTGAAATTAGTAAAATACAATTACCCAGTTTTAAACCATCCATGTGATTTTACTGCATTTGGTTGTTCTTCATTTTTTAAATATCTTTGAAAATTACAACTGGAACGGCTCCACACTTCACCAACACTTCCAACTGGCACACACTTTCCTTTGTCATCAACCAATTGTATCTGAAAGTAAAATTTAAACTTATTTTTAAATGTCATTAAATGTTTTCTCTTAATTTTACCAATGTCACAATTGGAGCAATTTCATGAAGTCCCAGTCTTCCAAAAGAAACTGGATGGCCTCGCAGCTTTCCCGCAAGTAAGCACTAATTTTCTAAAAAATAACCCATTTCCAGCAGATTCATAATGTACATGTTTTTACATTAATCTACAGTCATTGCCTCACGGAAACACACCACACGCTTATTTAACCAAGTCTCCCGGAATTGACTTCTTCCATTTAGGGACCCCTCCAAATTTGAGTTTACTATGCGCTCACCTCTGCATTTGGCAGCATTCGGATTCCAGAACGCCGCTTATTCATTGAATCCAAAAAACTACCTGCTGGAAACATCATTTCAGTTGAACCGTAAAGAATCTGAAGGCAAATAGAATTTATTAAATAAAATGTTGTAATTCAAAATTTAAATCCACTCACATCTTCGTGCATTTTTGATGCATACAAAAGAAAAACAAAGATCTTACCAAAATTTTGGAACGAAATTTGTTTTCATAGTCTTCGGCAAGTTTAGGAGGGATGTTTGATCCTCCGACTACACCTATAAAAATTTGTGTGAAATGCGATGAAAGTTAATATAGGGCTATAAGTATATCCACTGCATGTTTGCCCTATTTTATGTGTAATGTAACTTCATCATCAAATATGGCCTTAAGAATAAGATATTTCACGCCTTTAAAGTACGTGCATACTTAACTGACTTAATATAAATAAAACGTACCTATTCTGACACTTTCGATATGCCCTGTCACATTAATTAGCGTAATCATTCTTTTAATCAGCATTTATCAGTAAATATGCAAGGTTATTAAAGGTACTAAAAACATACACAGTATAATTGTAAAAGGTAGATACACATTGTTGCTAAGCAACATTTATGACAAATTCATATGTAACCATACAAACATGAAACTAAATTAAATTTTCATAGATACGTACATATTTTGAGAGAGGATAGGTCATATTCACCAATATCCTTGAAGCTGCATAGATCGTATAGACCAGTGACTAAGGGGAATGTTTCTGTACACCTTCGTTAAAAAAGAAGAAATTATTGAATGACTAATTACAGGAATGGAGTTGAATAGCGTGGTGGTTAAGTTGCTTGCAGGACTTGCACACCAATGTGTAATATTATTTTGTTTACCACATATACATCCAATATATTTTTTTACAAAATATGTCCATGACTTGAATCAGTCTCTATCGCGTCGTGACATGAATATATATGGGTCGGTATTTCCGAGAGACATCAGCCATACATGCATATAACTTCCAAGCCTGGGTTCCAGACGTTAATTTGGTTTACTCACTGAATTCTGGAAATTATAATAATTTTATTCCGCTCAGTAAGCGCCATACCAAGATTAATTTGATACAGTGCGCGTTCTACTTCGAGACCGCCTTTGGAAGCTGGAATTTTTGGGGCGGTCTCGGGGTTCGGCTATTCGAAGAAGTGGTCTGGAATTATGAGGGCCAATCACAACTGATTTTGATGAGGTAACTCGAGAGTAAGTCGTGATCAAACATTTTTAAAACAATTACAGTATAAACACTTTACTTACGCTTTTAAAACATTAGGCTTATTTAATATTATAAAATGTTGATAATTTGTATATTTGGTGAGTAAGAGTAAAGTTATTAGAGTAAATTTATCGCACATCAGATTTTGGAGAGGCCTAAGCCTACGTAAACCGAAAGGTCCACTGATTAATCTCAGATAAGAAAGTATAATACATACTCCAAGTATTGAAATACACGCCATCGTGTTGGGATTCAATATTTCGACATTAATTATGTCATCATCAGGAATGATGACATCCTACGTAGTAAGAGTACTAGAACTATATACTCTTTCGTAGTAGCAATAGTTACGTATACATATTTTTATTTACATTTGTGCATTTTATTTTGTTATTACCGTCGTTATAGATGGGTTGTGTTCACGATGGTCGCAGTCGCAGGTGTACTGGAATACAGCAACATTCATAGTAATTAGACTGATTGGTTAATTAGATAAATATGTTTACCTTCTTTATGTTTATGATTTAGATCTGTTTATATGGAAACCACTTCTTTCATTTTTCTTATCGTTTCCAGAGATACCTTCAACGTTTACATGTAATGTTATGATCGTAAAGGCAGACCTTAGAAGGGAGCATTTAAGGTCTAGTCTAGGTATTATGACAATGGTAGCACAAGCAACCCTTGTACCCCATGAATACTAATTGAAGCTGTAAACAAAGCCATACTTCTTGGTAAAAATAAAATATACAAATACCTCTCGTCCTGAATTGTTTCCACTATGCGTCTGATGTCATACACTGAGGGCGCAAACACTGAAGTCATAGAAGCTACAAGTGGGGGCATCACCCCACTTATTTCTCCACTAATATGAGTTGAATTACGCGCAAATACTCTTCGATTCTGATGAAAGAAATTTACAGAAACTATTACAGAGTTTTGATTACATACAGTATAGGCCTATTAATTATTTGTCTCTTTCCTGTCAGTCCCCTCTAATGGTCTCATTATTGTACTTTAATAAATTTCACACTTTGTTAGTTAATAAACACTGTATGCAGAAAAATGTCAATATAATGTCCCCTTCCTTGCTTATTCTCTTTTCTTGTATAATATTCCTTTCTTTAGTCTCTGTATTAGTCCTACTTAATGAATTCTTATAAATATTAGTAATTCGATGGAACAATGGCGATACACAATAATTATGTTCTCTTTCTTGTTCATTGATCTAAAATAACTCTTCTTCAAACTAATGTTTTTTTTTTCCATTTGGCAGCGTAGTGGTGGCATCAGGATTTGCCAAACGAGATGGGGGCATGGACGTCGATCGGTGGGGGACAGTGGGGACACGTTCCCCCACTTTTAAAAGTATATGGGGACATCATATCAACTGTCCCCTCCCCCACCTTTCACTAATGTTTTATTGTTAAAACCCCACTTTTTAAAGTAAGTGGAAAGAACAACAATTACGAATGACTGTCATGAATTCCTGACCAATACTGAGTAAAAACGCAATTTTTTTTGTACATTTCATAACCATCTCTGTAACCACTCCACCGACTTTATATGTGCAACGGTTATCAGAGGCTAGATTTATTATGAAAACAATGTACTGTACTTTAAGAAATTAGAACGCGTAAACCATTTAGGCCAACATTTTAAAAACTAAAAGTGCACAATTTCTGCTATAAACGATTTATACGTTTTGTATATTATTAAGACCCGTATATACTAGTGTTCAATATTATCTGTTGTTCCTAGTTTAAAAAAAATATAGTTAGTCAATTGAATGTTTTAAAGCCATTATCAAACAATAATTATACAGCTTGGACACAGATAGTTATGTCTATTTCGACTTATTCGAGTTCATTACCACGAGTTTACGAACTCCGATGTTACTTGACGCAATTTTGCCATGACATCATGATAATGATAAATTAAGTAAATCACCTAATATGTTTGTGAAATGAAAATGCCAGCTAATGTCAGCTTCTTATCTCCTCAGTCCTGTTGATCGTAAGTTAGACGGTAGTATTTCCACTCACAATAGTGTAGTCACAACAATGCCCCTATTGGGACGCTTGGGACAGTCCCACACAACTTTTATAATGGGTCCAGAAAAAATGGGTCCACTTTTTTAAAAATGGGTCCAGATTTTTCATATTGTTGCGTAAAATAAGTCAGCTTTAGAAAAAAATGGGTCCACATTATTTGAATTTACGTGTAAAGTGGGTCCCCCTGATGTTGTTCCACACTGTTTAAAAATCCTGGCAACGGCACTGTGTCGCAACTACTTGCACAAAAGTTTTCGCGGGCATAATGCCTAGACAGGATTGTTCATTCATATTGAAATTAGTGTTTTAGAGGTAAATATTTTCATCCAATGGGAATATATTTTATATGAGAAGAATCTATGAATATATTCAGCTCTTATTTGGTAAAAAGCCGAAATGGCAATTTCGATATGTGTTTTCCCCAATGGAGCCACCCCTGTACTCACCCCTCTATCTTTATCTGGCATGCTTGCAAGGTAATTAAAGATTGGTCTGGTTCCATTAATAATACTAAAATGTGTGTGAACCACGTGCTTAGGTTTTCCAGTAGAACCCTGTCACCGGTGGAAAAAAAAAATAGTAAACTGAATGCAGGAATAATATATAGCTCACATAGGAACGACTGCGTTGGCATATGCCTACTATTGTAACATTATATGTATTAGAAAATACAGAATTTATATTTAAAAATGCATTCTAGTATGTCACCTTATTCTATAAAGTGGCGTCTATTACATATTACCATGCAGAATTCATATTAAATAAATGCATTCTATTATGTCACTTTATTCTATTAAGTGACGTCTATTGCATTTTACCATGCACCATTTGAACTTTTAAGTTCAAACTTTAAAGATAATGCAACAAGCTAAATTTTGAAAACGATGTTACACACATAAATTTATGCAATTATGATAGCGCCAGTTAGTGTAATCATATTATATACTGACGTTACCCGTTGCATATTTATAAGTTTTGAAATCGGGGTGGGGTTGATGGTGGATTTCACATGTAAGGGGCGCCACTAAAGTAATATAAAGTGATTTTTAACTACTTGAGCGTAATATTTTGCTTCGAAATGGGGGAACAAACTCCCCCTGCCTCCACATCTCCCATCCCCAACTCGCAAACGGAGCACCTCCGTAGATACGCTACGTCACAAGAAGTATGTACCGGCCTAGTATCATATACTATCTATATAATATTATACAGTAATCAGTTTTATTAGTTTCTCTATTGTTTATTCAACATGGTACTATCTATTTCTTACTGAAGTACTGAAAATATCGCTGTCATCATCGAAAGTCACTTGGTTCCTTATGAGTTTGAAGAGTTCAATAAACTTAAGGTCGGATCCAAGCTTTTCAATATCATTGACGTTGTATGTGCCGCTATAACAGTGTTACAAAAAAAACGAATTTACCATATCGACGAGCAATAAAAGGAAATAAGTATATTCCTAGTTTCAACTGCGCATGCCGTATCCAAGTTCAATCGACATAAACATACATTTTGTGTATGTTCGTCGAGTGGCCTTGAGAGGGCATTGGCAGTTCAAACTACAAATTGGCTTATATACATTGTAAATGATAACCATTACTTTAAATATTCTATAAATTCACAGAAAACAAAAAAAAAAATAGTATTGAATTTACATAAATTAATATATACTGGAACATTTAAGAAATAGAAGTTTACAGTATAATAAAAAAAAGTTTGCTCAAATTAACGTGTGTTTAAAAATGTCCTTTGCCATAGCCTTAGATTTCTGAATTTTTGTAGTAAAATTGTCTGTAAAAAGAAAAAAAAAACTACTTTTAATTGAGGAATTAAAAAATTGGACTATTTTTTTTAAATTTCTTTTTGTAGTTGCTTTTGGATGGCAGATGCTTCTTTAAATGGTATAACCAGTAAAGCTGTATTGTTTTTAAGTTACCTTTTGTTATTCTCACCAACACCAATAATAGCATCAAAATGTGGAGTTCTGCAAAATTCAACATTGTTAGATATCAGTGGCTTATCTATAATTAATTATTATACGATGGCCTTAGGAATATTAAGAAAATTATAACCGGATTTATTAATTGATAAGCAAAATATATGTGTACTGTAAACATAAATATCAGAAACAACACGTTACAATACCAAGGATCTGTGAATTCTACTAAAATTAGAATAAATTACATCATGAAAAGGATTAAGCCATGAAATAAACCAAACAAACCAAACCAATGCTAACACGGTGTAATATATAAACAATTAAACTCCCCGGTCCAACTTTGTACATGTATTTACTGGTACTGGAAGTAGAATGACACACAATATTTAAAATACATATAAATGAAAGATTAAGTGAAGGTGAGTAAGTGGGTTGTGTTAAGCCAGGCTCACACGATTTAGGCCTAATCATTTTCAATCTCTCAGTCTATCATTAGGGAGCTTTCGATTACACGACGCGGTAGGACGTACAACTAATGACGACATTAAGTAGTCATCTGCGCATGCGAGAACGTTAATTTCCCCTCTTGGCTTGGATTGTAGAACGTAATTTGACCAAATCTACGTTGTTTAAAAGAACGTAGGATGGTCAGGCATGACCATAATATGGCGCTTTCAATTTACGCGAAGACGCGGCGCTTGAACGGAATCACTCACGCGCGACGAGGTGACCTTAACGTTCTCGCATGCGCAGATGACTTTTAGTGACGTCATTACGTTCTACGTCCTACCGTCGTCGTGCAATCGAAGAGTGGCAATCAGCAGACGGCATCGCGTCGTCAAGCGCTCACAGAGAAGTGATGCATTCGCCTGTGGGGGGAGGGGAGGTGTTTTGGATGGGAAGTAAATACAATGAGTTTCGTAGCTTACTGGGATGCATCTTCAGCACTTGCTGTTCTAATAATATCGATCAATCTATCGTACAGATTAGTTGGGCTTCTTCCTAAAACAATCACTTTACATCCGGTCTACAAAGTACCATAAGTATCAATGAGAAAATATATATCAAAGAGAAATATATATAATACATACACATATATATATATATATATGTATATATAATATAATAAAGATAGCCGTTAACACTGTTAAATTATCTATAAATCATCAAAAACTACGTTCGTTGATCAAACAAAGCCATGCCATGCTTGAGTCTGTCGTGTGTTTCATTCTTGAAATCCTGAGCTGCACTGATGAGATCTAACAAGATCGAAACGGTACTGTCTGCAGATTGGAATATTTACGCTCCTTTACATTGTGCTGCTAAGGTAGTACATTGTTTTGTAG